ATATATATATATATTTGTTCATATTTATATTTATATTTATAACGAATCGATCAGAAGTGCAAAAGCATCGAAAAAACGCATCAGAGTACAATTTCAGAATCATATGCACTGGCATGCGGACGAGCGTTGTTTCTGTTGTAATAGATGTGGTAAAAATTTATTAGGCAAAAGATACTCATTTAGAGACGAAAAGTTATACTGTGGTATGGATGCGAACTGTGGAAAACAGTATTCGAAAGTAATGTTTATGTAATATTTGATGTTTCTTTTTTCGTACTTATCAGGTGTAAAATTGGCCTCAATTACATATTGAATTGCATCTATCTTTCATTACATTTAGCCTGTTTTCCAGTAGTTTACGAATCTTTAGCCGTTTCTTCATTTCCTTACTTATCACTATTCATGTTATATGAATCTGTAATTCATCATCATCATGGCTAGGAGAACGAAAATTTGGGAAGGCTTCTACCCACACTTGCTGCAAACGTAAATGTTGGTGTGCCCTTCCATCCTGCGCAGTGGATATTGTAGGTGAAGCATAGCATGTGCAGGACTGGCCTAACCCTTTACTTCCAAAGTTCATCTGCCAGGGCTTAGCAAGCTAGGACCGTGACAGTGAAGTAGAACTTAGGTTTTATTAGAGTATCATTATCTTACATGGACGACCTTACAGAGTTAAGCGAACCTCGTCTGCCCGGTTTGGAGTTACAGTTATCCATCTCTTAAGATAGGTGCCGGGAGTTTAGCAAGCCCATTCCGTCCGTGAATACAGTTTGTCTGACCTTTCAGTTGAAATCTGACATGGAAGACCCTATCGGAGGCATATGTTACCGCCAGCATAGTTCATTAGGGCACGTAAGCTTCGCTCCTGCGAGCACGTAAGCTTCTCTCTTGCGACTGGTGGTGTCCATGGAGGAGAAAATCTGTACTTATAAACCATGCGATTGACGTTTCAGGTGACATTTGATAGCAGGGTGATTTCCGTTTCAAACAGACGGCGAGGATCGGTGCCGGAGCCACCATCTCGAGATCCTCCATCACCACCAGCTGAAAATATTTATGAAACTGTCCTACCATGCTCTTCGAGGGAATCAGATATCATAAATGGAATCGACCATTTGCGAGGGTAACGGTTTATTTTTGCAACAACATATGTCACATTTACTATTCCATCGGATTTAACTTTTGATCCGTGGATGTTTGTGATAACGATTTTTGATACTATTATAAATGCCACAGGTGTAGTCGCCGATCGCAAAGCGCAGATGTTCGGCGACCGTGGTGTAATGAATACTGCCGCAAAGAATATTACAAGAAAAAGGGTAATTATGAAGATAAGAAACAAAATCATTATTCGCGGATGCCACCACTCTCACCGTTACTAAGAAGAAAACATCAGCGATGCAGGTAACGTTGAAAATCCAACTTAACAATACATTGTTAGCCATTCAAAAAAAAATTTCTTTTCCAAATGTACACCACTACATCCTGAAGTATCAGATGGGGCGTAACATGACAGATCAGTGTTCAATATCTACATCAGACAGTACTCAGGGATTGATAACCTTTTTCTTTGCAAAATTCTGTTTTGATAAGTTCCTATATGTTTTTTATTATGTTAGACAAAGCTGGTGTATATGGAAGTGAAAATGCTTAGTTTTCTCAATAGAACAATTTAAATTTTCAGTTCATGCAGTTCGTCCGAGAGTGATAGTGATGATGTATACCTGTTAAATTATTTAGCTGCTTCTCTTTCTCAGTTCAGCAAAACAACTGTAAGTTTCTTTTTATATCTTTAAGTTAACACTTTCGTTATATCTCTGTTGTGAGAATTTTGAGGGTTTTTTCTGTTTGTTCCATTATCCAATTTAAGAATTTCTGTCCTTAAGCCAAAAAAATTAAGTGATTGAATTTCACTTGCAGTTCATCTTATTAGTCGATAAAGACTCATTTATTTTTCTATTATTGGAACTATTGCAGTTCTTATTGCAGAATAGAGTTCGAAGCAATGGGAGTTGTAACAGAATTCATACGGCAAAGAATAAATCATCGAGTAATTGTATAGTATCCTAAAACTTTTTCTAATGTGATGTTTATTCCTAATGAGTAAAGATATTTCAAATTTTCTTGTATAACGTGAATGCTATGCAACGAATTCTCTACTGTAACACTGTGCCTTTGCAAACTAATGTTTTTTTCTTTTCAATATAATTTACCCATTGTTACAGAGGGAGAGTGGGAAGGTTACAAATCCTCAATACGAAAAAATAAATAATGAACTATTAATTATTAGTAAATATGTGGTATCTGCCTACAAAACTTATTAAAATAATGTTGACTTCACTTATAAATTCATACATTGTGCAATATCAGGTCGGAATTGAAATTTTACTCAGTGATGTTTGTGATTGGATTGGATTTGATTTTATGGTGCATGAAGATTGTAACCGATTCTCACCTGAATAAAAAGTGCACTGAAAGTTCGTCCACCGGGTCATTGAACTGTGGCATATGTTTAGTATCCAGCAGAAATGAAAGAATGATCCAGAAAATTCTGAGTAAGCAGGTCAAGAAATATGATGTAAGGAGCGACATACCGATGTATAATTTGTGGGTGACTTGTCGTTATAGATGGGTCTCATCGCAGTTTTCGTCGTTTATTGGCACCATGAAGTGTAGTACCTTATCTTCTGGCTTAGGTTGTGAGACAACTTTTTATTCGTTGGAATCCTTACAAAGGGGACCAGATTTCATGCAAGCCTGGTGGGATACATCTGGGGTATCTTGTTCAACGTACAGTTTGACTTACATTGGTTTTAAAAGGCAGTTGGTAGGTGTGGTGGGATTATATTTTTGTTTTTTGAATTTATGGAACTAAAAATTTGCGATTGTAGTTTGTAATGACTTCAAAGCTAGCAGACTGCTTCAAAAGTTCACGCTTGATTCCAGTGCCATTTGGTGAATACCAGAGCAATAATCCTGATACACCTCCTATTATGGTTAGTTCAATGTTTCCCTCAGTTTATTTAAACTCATGGAGTACCTCTTTCCCGAAAGATGCGAACAACGTTTTGTTTCGTGTGAAAAACATTGTATGGGGATTGAATGAGGCCTTTATTTCAGGTTAATTTTCGTTCGCCGGATTTATGGCGAACTTTACCAATGGAATTTAAGGATGGTAAAGAGCGCTTATTCACTGATCGTACAGTCATATGCAAGCTTTCTAAAGTTTGCGCTAGTAAAGTTGAAAATCTTGTGCGTCTAACATGCTATTCACTCTATTTCTGACATGAATATCATTTACAGTAGAAGCAGTTGGTTGATGAAGCGTAAGATCTGAGGCTGTAAGAGTGATTTCCAATTTAACTTAGTAAATTTCGAAAAATGACTCGATGCAACAAAATTTTTCGTAATACTGACAGACATCAGGCGATATCAATTATTAGATATGTCCGATTCCAGGAAAAGTTGGGACAGGATCTTGTGATTCAATTGGACAACATAAAGTGTGATGCTATGGAACGTTTGCTTTTTGCTGTCTGTCCTACAATATATAGTCAATATCCAATTCCTCCAACAGGTGCTAGTTCTTAATTCCACTTCATACCATTCCTCATTGGTGAAATAACCGATTCCTCACTAATAAAATTAATACGTTAGCCAGTTACTTCAGTTTTCGATGTTGGTATTATTTGTCCAGTTGCTTGCTCTCTACAAATGGATATGGTTATCAAGATGTGCGAGAAGGTAACATCATTCTTGAGCTTCAGGTCAAAAATTTCAGCGCGCAGATAAATACACTTTCGAATGCTGCTGGGACAGCATATTGTTGTAAATGTACCTTTCATCAGGTTCTGGAAAACGATATAAATTCGGAACTTACGCCGATTGACCTACTCGTCAGTTCCTTTAGTATGGCTTACAAATGTCAACTGAAGTTAACATTGCAAGCGAAGCTGTTTACCAATATTCTGGAATGTGAGTATTGGAAATTAAAATACTCGTTGGTTCGTAAAGTCGAATCACCTTGTTTGCGCATTTTTTTGTGGTAGGTCTTTTTCTGTTAAATAAAATTTCATATGTTAAAACGATTTTGCTAGAAGTTTCTAGTCGGGCCATGACTTGTCGTATTTATGATGCAAGAATAGAGGACCTTCTGAAGCTTCTGAACTTTCCTGATATCCTCACTGCTAGTCACTATGATTATTGGAATACAATGAAAAGTGATTCCAGCCTTTCTTATGCATCTTTTTTTTCTTGCAATCAATGCTGCAAAGCTATTCAGTAATCATTTGTAGGAACTTCAGAGAAATAAGGCGCACTACTATATGTTCGAAAAAAGCACTCAAAGAAAATTGTTACGTAAGGCGTAGAAAACCCTGGGTAGGAGAAGGTCTAGATCCACCAACGAAAGAATTGTTCCGCCTTTGCATTTACAACGAATTAATCTTTTCACATGTTACAATAACTGTACAAACAAAAATTTATAAATCTATTTGCAATCAATGTGAAGAGAATGCTACGCACAATATGCGTACAAGCGGCTGTCTTGTGAGGACTGTTCCAGAAAAACTCTTTTTGTGCCAGCAGTGTAATAAAGCACTGTGTTCGAATTGTGAGGCAAAATTTTGTGCTGCAAAGCTGGTTGAATTTCTTGAAGATGTTCATAAGGCTGAGAAATCTCCAGATATGTTAATGAAGCTTCGTTCTCTTGTTATACTGAATTCTTCCGATCACGATGCTGCTAGGGCGTTGATAGATATTCATTAATGACGCTTTTCGTCTTCAGAGTGATATTTCCGCTATTCTTTGTCACAGTCTCCATTTCTGATTTCGTTATATAGCATGCATACAAAATCTTTTCAAAGATAATCAAATGTTATTTCTGCAAAACGAACATTCTTGTCTTTAATCTCATATGCAGACATCTCTTCTAAAAGGCACATTCTATTTACACTGTGGTAATCAGTAATATGTGTTATTGTCTTAGCAGAGTGAATTTTACACTTGCGATTGGCAACGGATTTGCTCTAATATTCTTGATTTTGGATATTGCAGTCTACCTCTCCGACTTGTATTTTCCTTTGTTATTGCGAACAGTGAAAACACTATCAGCGGTAGACAATCATGCGTATTGCTTGTTGAATAAAACCCTTTAATCCCAAACTGACGATTTCTGACTTCTCTCCATAACCTCGGTGAATTACGAAGCTGCAAGATAAAGGCTTCCCACGGCAAACTAGTCGCATGGAACAACTTAGCAAGTCAGTTCTAAGGAACATGACAACAAAGCCGAAACTCGAAAAAATTTTATCGGGTGCACACCTTACCAAATCTAACAAATTCAGCAAACTCCCAGCTAAAGTTGTACAGACATCTACAATTAACTAAAGCGATAAAAGTGGAGTTAGGTCTGGCCAACTCACGAATCCATGAAAAGCACATCTGACTTTATATCCGAATAATTCAGCTAGTTTTGAAATTTACTAGATCAGATGCTGTCTACTAAATGTTGGCAAACTGTACTACAAACGAGAATTTCACATCTAAGAAAAATTTCTAAACCGTGAAGTTCTGATCCATTGCTGACTCACTGATAAACCAGAACAGCAAAGTAAAAGCTTCATTGGTTAATCCGTTGTAAAACGTGACATTCAAAAATTTGCTATCAGGTGCTCATTAAAGGCAACTAAAAAGTAGTGGAAGGTTAATATTCCTATGAAGGATGATAAAAAGACATTATGGCTAAATATGCGCAGAGAATTCCTTTCTCGGTTTTTTTTTTGAATCAAACAAGGCATTTATCCATATCAGATCCAACTGCTTGATAGTCTGATAAACCACAATTTTGAACGACAAGGCCTCCCATCCTGAATGTGATCTTGAGCTTGATATTATCTCCCCCTCAATCCAGCTCAAGTCAGTTAAAGCAGGTAAACATTGTATTCAGCTAAGAAACTCCAATAACTTTTAAATACATGATACAACCTATAAATTTCTAGTAAATACTGGTGCCAGAAATATTTCACATAAGCTTTCAAAAACAAACATTAAAAATAAATCAACATATCCATCAAAATCAGAAAAGTACCTTCACTGTACTAAAAGCATCACTGGGAAGGCGGAAATTTAAGAAAATTTGATCAAATCTCCATAGCGAGCAAAAAAAAACATTGAGAATGTTCCCAAAGCTAAGCCCGTAGTCTGCAACGAAAGAACAAGAAACGCATCAAGATAACCATTTTCCAACGCTTCTTCCATTGTGGATTTCATCTCGGGCATCTGTAATTTCAAACTTTGTTTAAATGCAACTTCAAGTGAATTCTTAAAAAAAAGTGGAAAGTCAATATAAATGAACTTCGCACCATACACGAAAGGGCAATGTATAGAAACATGCCACCCGAAAAACCAAAAATGTATCGTAGAAGTGATTCGACACTACCCAGAACGACACCGATAATGAATCCTACGAAGCAGGTAACCGTACTAAGTAGATTATAAAATAAAGCTTGCTTCTGGTTCATACCAGCATTCAACAAAATTGCCACATCGCCTGAAGAATGAAACGCTTATAAATTCATTTTTTGAGACAAAGCACTTCAAGGTTACAATTTTTCCCGTAAAAATATTTGATTGTCAATTTCAAACAAAACAGTTTAGCCAACAACCTGAACATGCTCCGTACTACCTACGGCTACCCAGTGAGAAAAACAGCAGACACTACAGCTTATCTTTGCGAAATCAGCACACATTTGTGGTATATATGGTGCGTTTTTAAGATAATCCAAGAACATATCCGGAAAAGTTGTGCCATCTATATCACAAATGTGTGTAATTTTCTGAAATGCGAGTAACATTGATTGCTTTTTTCCTCTTTTCAGGCCCATGGTATGAGCCTGATTGGCAGATAACAACGACTGCAATCATATTTCGATAAAATGAATTCCATTAGAAGCCGAACAATTACCATGGACAAATAAACCGAATAAAATGAAACGACCTAATTCATGTGGGAACTCCTCGGCGAATACCGACATACTGACACTCAAACCACTCAACAGAGATTCACTAAAAGCAGCACCAATACTGATTCCATCGATAAAATTGTGCAAACCATCACCAAACACAATCATCCATGCGACCGTTTTTATTGCCGAATCTTTTGTTTGATTAAATGTTATTTCATGGTCATGAACACAAATACCATGAGCCTGGATGAAAGTTTACAACAATATTATGTATATATGTTGTAGAAAATCTCGTTTCAATAGTTAGGAACAATTCGAAACGTCAAGTGAGATTCCTGAAAAATGAAATTCCCAGCTAAAAACTAAAGTCAGTGTAGCTAGAATTTAAGAAAAAACTATTACCTGTCTTGACATATCGAGACTGGAACGAGTTGTACTGTCAGCTTCGTCGCTTTGTTTGCGCAATGATGTTTGTTTTTTATATCCTTTCATTCGTTCTGATGTTGGAAAAGCAACAGATTTGAGATTACCTGTAAACAGTAGAATTGCAACCGGCATTTAGGATGTCATAACGGAAACTTCCTAACACCTCAAATTCTTTTGGCGAAAGTTTCTCTTCATCAGTAGTAATTCTTATATGGAGTATCCGTGAACACTCATCTAAAGTCAAAACTTCAAACCCAGTTTCCCAAGGAGGAAGAAACCTGGTCGATAACAACAAAAGAGCACAACAAAACAGCGAATATATATACCGTTTTCAGTAATTAAAGCATCTGTCGAACGGATCGAAACAACTCCGGCTTCCGCGTTTACATGACTTCCAGCGTTAATCAACATTTCAATTTCATTCATCTAAACACACATGAACGATGAAATCTGATACAAGGAATAAAAACAGCCGCATAAAGAGAGTTAGCTATCCGTTAATTTCCTAAAAACCCTTTTATAGGTGTACAAGTAATCCACATTTCATTCAGAGAAAATTTGGCATATCCGAGCAATAAAGTAAGTAATGAAAAGACCTTTTTTGACTCCAGAGTGATTTTGATGAATTTATCGCAGAAGAAAAAGATGTATATCCCGAATATACAAAACATCATAACCATGATAAAATCGTAATTTTCTCCATCAGCGACTCCTAAGCCCTGAAACGAGAATAAGAGCTATAGGGAGAATTAAAATACAAAAAAAAGAAATCTCATAACATCAAAAATCAATTTATACACATGTACTCATGTATTTCCAACAAAATTTTGGCTAGACATAGGACTGTAGGAAAAAATACATCTTTTTACAATTTCTGTAAAACACACGAATTATAAATGCACTAGAAACTACGGTGTTTTGTATTCTTTACAGAAGATTTTTACTTACAAAAAAATCAGTTGTTGGTACTGTATTTGTTAAAAGCCATATCTAAAGTCGATAAAGCCACGCCTATTATAATTGTCAAGAAACTGACAGCAATGGTATTCATATTCTGAAGAGATGTAAAGTTAAGCACACGACCATTGCCTCGGATTTCACATCCCACACTTCAGTACATACAGGTTCAGACGACTCCTTACTTAGCAACAAAAGTACCATGCCATTATTAGTTTGTTCGGTGCAATGAGTGTAATTTAGTGCGTCCATTAATGATGATGAATAATAACTTAAAGACCTAAGCTATATTACCGCTTACTATTTATTAAGGATCATTGAAAATACAAACCCATTATACAATGCTAGCTACAGATAAAAAACATGTAACGCTTTCTAAAACTGAAGACAATTACTTGTTACATGTTTTATATATTGATATTTCAGCTTAGAATGGCTAGAGAATGTTTTTATTGCAATTTCCTTGCACACTCAAGACCGTATTTGTATCTTGAAAGTGAGATTTCACTATTTCTCTCAACATTGTGTTTGAATCTACAGATCATTCAAAAACATTTAGATTTCAAATATTTGCACGGCTACATATACTGCGGGTCTCGAATTTGTAACACATTTTTTATTTGTTCATAAAACCAAGAAGTTTATTATAATTGAGATTAATTGCTACGTTTGAATTACGTCGTTTACGATGTTGCATAATCTGACAAGATATTGAACAGTTGATTAAAAAGCCACGTCCCACTTAGTTGGAACATATACTTTCGTTACATTCATGTATTATGCAGCGTTATATATTAATATCAGGAAAGTGGTAAAGGCACGTGTTTTAAAGCATATTTCAGAATTTCAATACTTTGTACATGAAACAAATTTATAACCGCCTCCTGCTTACGTTCACCATTTCCGCTTCAGTCGAAGCCACTATCATCAGAACACGACTATTTTAAGACTTCATCAGTGTTTGCAGATATGTTTTACTTGAATGATGATAACAGAACTATTACTACTGAACATTGTGGAAATCAAAATTGTGATGGGGAAAGTTTCACCTGAGGTAGCAAATGCAAAGTAGATGAAGTTATAAGTGAACCAACTCCGACAGCTACAAGAACCGTGATGAAGTGGTTGTATGCTCGTTTGCTAAGTTTCTTGACAAACACAATTCCAACAGCAGCACATAAACTAATTACTGTAACGCAAGTCAAACCAACAGTCCATACTAAAAAGGAAATTTTCACTGCTCTTCGTTCATTTTCGACGAGGCCGTACTGCTAATTACTGCTTACAATGTATAGATCGCCACAGTTTTGCACTTAAAACCAAGAATAAAATCTGAACTACCACAAAAGACTATTTGCCATAAAGATAACTTACTAATAAAATTAGAAGGACGGATGTGACGCGGTCGATTCGGTACCACTACTGCCGACTTAATTTTCATCCAGTTCGTGCAGAGTTCGTCAATACCTTCAGAAGTGAAATTAGTTGCTTGGAGAGTACTTGTACTGGGTAGCCATTCGAACTCTTCCATAACCACCTCACTTGTGCTGTATAAGTTCTGCCAGTCCTTTTTGCTTGCTACAAAATCCCAACAACTTCATTATGACACACTGACACCGCATAAGCATTCCGGAAGCTAAATAATGGACATATTCCGATATATTGCCATTTTATGCATTTCGGGATTCGGAGAGTATAAGCAACGCATATAGGCTTGTCAAAACTACATTTAACATCCTACAAAACAAAACATGCGGGTACAAACTATGTCACAATTTCGTCTTCAGAATGAAAGCTCAAATATTTACTGCAAAACACAACCTACATAGTCTTCCGAGATAAAAAGCTGTCAAGTTAACCAATTTTACTCGGTAGTTACTCGTAATAACTGCAAAACTCTAATCCCACTTGAAATGCAAAAATATTATTTTTATTATAGTGGCTCGTAACAAAGCAAGATAATAAAACTTCATCTCAATGTCAACAATGTATAACAAAATAATATAGTACATATCGATAAAAACTGCTTTTACTAAAGTAAATCATGAAAAAAACAAAGTATTCGAGGGATTTTGCCAGAAAGTAAAGAAAGGAATCCTTCACTAGTTTCTTGTTCCGGAATTTCAGTGATTGAATTGCAATATGTGTCCATGAAGTGCATGTGATTGCAATATGTATATTTAATAAGAACAGTATTAGAAAACAGCTTCAATTCAGATATTTGGACCAGCAACAATGCACAGCACAGTGAATCGAACGGATCACTTCGCTAGTAATATCAGAATGCTTATACACAGCATGAGGTCTTGCAACCATGGGCGATGAGCCAACCTTTTGGGTTGACGGATTAGTCAATACAACGACACTATATAGCATGTATATGACGATGAATATCATAACTCCAATGGCATCTTATACATTCCAGATATACTTATTGTCATAACATACCTATTAAAACAAAATTTTATAAATAATGGAAGTACCATAGCCAAAATGCCTTGTTTGAGGTAGAGATGAAAGAAAAACAAGTCGTAATTTCTCACATACACAATAAGCCGGATATGGAGAATGACAAATTCTAAAAAACAGTCTGACGAGAATGAATGAATGTAATAGGAACGCTAAGAAAAAAAAAACGAGAATGCAATGCTACGTCTGGCATGGTGTGACATCATCCTCACAATGAAAAGCATTAATAGCTTCAATCGAGGCCAAGATAGGTGCATGCATTACGAAACCTCAAAAAAGCATAGCATTACATGAGGTGAGAGCAAAGGTGTAGATGATGGGACAGAAGATCGATGGAACATCAATCGCGCTGGGTGATGGTTATCCGTGGTTCAGGCAGAGAAAAAACTGAGGGAATGTTACATAGCTCAGAACAGCTGTTTTTTCTTCATTCTTTTGCTCCCTCCTCTTTCTCAGCTTTCTTTTCCTTGCTTCTAAGGAGAGATTCCACTTTATAATCCTGAGAAAAACAAGATGGCAAGCTTCATTCCATCTAAGAAAAGAACAAAGAGGTAAAGAAAGTATATTAGAATAGAAATAGGTTCAGCCTGGTTGTACAGCCTAATTATCACCATCTCACCAATGCCTCCCACCTCCGCCCCAGAAATCCACCCAAATTCAACACCTCCAGAACTACTACGCACTTGCTTTGTGCAATTACGACGAGGATTTCTGCCGCCTTTCAGTTGGGACGTAATGAAACTGATGTTGTGAGGACTAAGTTGTGACTTGCTTGTTAAACTTGTCTAATCTTGTCTAACAGCCCGTTTTTTGGGGGTAGTGCGGATGTCGAATCATTTTCAGCGGTAACTTCCGAATTAACCAGATATATGCAGTATTTATTAATCTAAAAGAATCAGACTCTTTTGAAGTCCATACGCTTCCCAGCAAGTTAATTAGTTTTAACATTTTTTCTTTTTATTCTCATATCTATGGATCTGTCTTTTTTTTTCATAATTAAAGTTGCTTTCAAAGATATTCATCGTTGTAACACAAACTTTGGGAGGGATTTTAATTCAGCTAGTCGTCTAAGCTTCGCGAACGAAGATATATGAAAAGCTGTACCCACGTTTGCTGCAGGCGCGCTGATGGTTAAGAAGGTCAGTGCGGATTAGACAAGTTCGAATGCAAGAGGCATGGTGGAAAGTTTTCTTAGGGATGAGGTACGGTTTTTCCTGGATTGTCGTTTGCCCTCGAGGCTGGTTTCTACATGTATTTTCGAAAGAAGCAGCAGCGTTATAGATGATATGTTTCCAATGTTTCCCTATTCGAAGCCGGAGTGAATCAGTGGTAGTCTATATAATCAAGGCTGAGGCATTGTTTCAGAGCCCCCTTGTATCTTCTCTTTGGAGCCCTTCTTTCGCGGAAGCCGGTGGCCAATTCGCCACAGAGCACAATCTTAGGAAAGTGGTGGTCCTCCATCCTGGAGACTTGTCCAGCCCAGCGCAACTCTGTCTTCAATAGTATGCTGTCGGGAAAGCTAATCTGCTGACTTCGTTTTTTAGCGATATAGATTTATTCGGGATGTAATATTGTTCTTCACAATATTACTAGTTGACAACAAAGGTAGCAACAAATATATATATACATATATATATATA